TTTCCATGAGCTTAGCACATACTAGGAAGTCAATCAAGTTTCTTTTATTGAATGCACTCATGTGTGGTTTTTTCCTTCCACATGGTCATTTCTTTCTGGCAGCTCTGGATTAGGAGCTGGCTGAGACAGAGACAAGCAGCCTGTGTAGGAGAGTCTTATCTTTGACAAAGGTTGGGGACAGACATACAAGCAGCCAACAGGGCATCTATAAAGCATTGATAACAGAAGTCAGGTTTAGTAACAGGCAAGAAAAAAGAATTTCACAGCACACACATTTCACAGAGGAGACAAGTAGGCACAGAGATGTCAGAGGGTAAAGAGAGGGACAAAGTGGCTACATGAGAGAAAAGCTTAGAGTTGGGAAATCCAGAAGAGCTGAAAAGACAACAATGTGGAGAACAGGAATATTTTTCTTCACTTGCCTCCATCCGCTGAGACCCAGGTGTGGAGGAGCCAGCCTGGTCTGCAGGTATGAATGTGCACTGGTCATACCTACTTAAGGTATGAAGCTTGCTGAGGAAGTGATGGTGACTTCTTGTCAAAAAAAATATGGACTCTTACAACAAGCAGCAGAAAAGAGAATACTGCAGGGTTGGGAAATTTATAACTTTCCTGGCTTGGGTTTGCTCAAATTAAACCACCTGTTGTAAGAAAGGCTTTGCGGCTACATCACAAAGATCAGAGGTTTCAGTCAAGAGGCAGAATTAACCAGCCACAGCAAGTCCACTCACAATGAGGAACAGACAGGAAAACTGAAACCTGAGATGGAAACCAGGACTCTCCATCTCCTCTGAGTCCCTCATAGAAATCTGTCTACCTATGAACCATGATATTTTCTGGAAACTGGTTTTGCTGTGCTGACTTAGGGCTCAGTCTACCAATGCATGACAGTTGAACTAAAATTCCATATAATAATCTCCAGAGTAGGGTACCCATGTCCCAGGGGCCACACCATCCTGTCTGCCCAGGAATTCTGGGAAGTTCATTCAGGGGCTATCTGAGCACTAAGGAATCAGGGATGAAAAAGCAGGGGTGTCCCCTAAACAACTCCACTTCTTCCCAAAGACTCCTGGGGCAGCTTTGCAGAGATGACCTGGAGGAGGCTTAGCTTATCTCTGAAATGACATGATAAGGAATTTATCTTAGTCAGACACTGTTGATAAATCATTACACTTCATATATTTTGGAGTCAGTCTTAGCAGGGAAGAGCCAGGTACCATTCTGCAATCACTATTAAACCTCAATTATCCAGAAGCACACAATCTCTCAGTCCTTCTTCCACAATGCTGTGTAGTTTTAGGAGGCCCACCTCTCTGTATGCTGAGAGTAAAGAGAACAAGGCAATCTCCCATTTTGCCTGAAAAGAATGGCATAAGTGCAATCAAACTATAGCAAACGCAAGTGAAAGCACTTGGGGAATCCCTAGTAAGTGGAAAATTACCTCTACTACATCCCTCAATTTACCCTCATAAGGACGCCACACACTGAAACTGGTAAGTAAGCAATGCTCTCAGCCTCAGACTTCTGTATTAATTTCCCAGGGTAATCACAATCATGATCACTACCCTGATAGCAGCAAAGAAAGGGCACCATAAACAAATGGAGATGAGACAGTTCTGCAGACAGAGCGTCTCTTGGAGGAGGCACAGAGAGCTTCAGAGTCAGAGCCACTTGGGTCCAAACCTTGGCTTGACTACTTCTATATGACCTTCACAAGGTGTCCTTTAGCTTCGCTCTGTCTCACTTCTCTGGTAAGATGAAGGTAATATCAACATCATTAGACTGTGATGAGGCAATGATGAAAATGCTGAGTGCTCGCTCATTACAGTCCTTACTCAAAGGACAAATTCCACTGCAACACACAATTCCTTTTCCAACTCTCTCTCTCTCTCTCTCTCTCTCCCGTTCTCCTTCCTTCCCTCTCCCTCTCCTTCCCTCTCCCTCTCCTTCCCTCTCCCTCTCCTTCCCTCTCCTTCTCCTTCACTCTCTCCCTTAGCACCCCAAAATATATGTTTCTGGAACAGAATTTGAACTGAATAGCTGAATCTTTCTTTAAAACATTTGCAATCTATGCTTCTGCTGAATGCTACTTATCATGACACTGTCCCCACTGCACTGAAAAACAATTTAATGGCCCAATAAGTAAATGAAGATTATTTTGGAAAGTGAGTTTGAATAACATGAGAAAAGCAGGGGAGGTACCTTCTTGAAGATCTTAGAAGAGAATCACAGTGTGTCTCTCAGTCACCACCGGTATTCACATGTTAGGCTAAGGCTAGAATATTTCCCCTGGGAGGTAATAGGTGAAGATCTCATATGCAGTGAAGATCAGTAACTAACGGCTCACACAAGTTTCAAAAATTAGTCACTGGTTACCATGGCGATGCAAATATTACCTAACAACTCACTGGGCTGTAAGTAACCAAGAGGATGCTAACTATGTTATTTTGAGACTGGAACAAGGTCTCTATTTTTAGGAATACTTGCGAGAACCTAGATGGACCTACACAGCACACCAAGGGCAGCCCAGGTTTGACCTGAGGGAGTCAGGATTCACCATCCTCTCCTTCCCTCTGCGTGCCTGGCTCTGTGTCTCACAGACACACACAGCTTTATCCAGTTAACAGCTGCAGGAGAAGAGTGATGACATTTTATTTACAAACAGAGGACTATGATTGGGAAGATGAATCTGCTTACTCCCTAACCTCTTCATAAAAGAGCAATCTCTTCTGTCTGCTGAAGACCCAGTGGGAGATTTAGGTGGCCTGTCCCACTGAAGCTCTCAACAGTATGAATGTCTCAGGCAAAATAAGATTTCCCAGAAAATAACTACAATGCCCCATAAAATAATAAATTTCCCTCTACTGTATTTAGGAAAGCAACATTATATGACATCATTAATTTTTAAATGATTCCAAGAAATGGCAGTGCACAAATACACTCCTTAATCAAACTCTGTGACAACTTCTGGCCAAGGCACACTGCCATCCCCTATATACAGAAATCCTGATCATTACAAAAGAGACCCCTGGGGTCTTCTCTGAGTAGTCCCTGGTATCTCTCATTGGAATTTCCTGGGGGGCTCCTTAAAATAAAAAATTCAAGGACATAGCCAAGGCTTACCCAATCAGAATCTTTGGGGCTACGAACTGAAAAATGTACATTTTGAAAAGGTTCTCCCTGTAATGTTTATTTTCTCTGAAGTCTGAGAACCCTGCCCTTTGTAATCACCAGTAAACTCCAGACAATGTTGACAGGAGATACAACAGCCACTGGGGGACACAAACCAGTACACATGAATCAAAGGCAGGGCTGTTTGTGACCTAGTAGGTTTCTGACCACAAATCCAGGGTAAAAAACCACTACAAGCTACATGTATTGTATATGTGCACATGTGTAACAAGTATTTCACAAACAACACAATATTCTCTGAAATACTCTATTTTATTCCCATTTTCAACGCTCTTGCAACCAAATGAATTGATTTCTTTTCACCTCCCGTGGCTGATGAGCAAAACCACAGTGACACATGTAACTGCAAATATTTAACTTTTATTATTTATATCCTCTAGCTCACAAAGAGTAGCATGCAAATTATATAGGTGCGGTAGAAAACAAGTAAAAAATATTAAGAAAATGGAGCAAAGGGAAAAAAACTAAATGTTTATGAGATGAATCAAAGGCAAACTTAAACACAACCAACACTTGCCAGGAAATCTAGTCCATGCACTAAATCTCAGCTTTCCTGCAATCAAAGTGAAGAGGAAGACATGATCAATTACAAAATTCCCCCATTTGGCAAGAAGAAAGCAATGACTGAGAAACATTTCCAGGCCTCTGGCCAGCTACCCTCCAGCTAACCAAATACCCCCCACTCTCTTCAGGATAGAAAGAGTGATGAGTAAGTAGGAGTGGAACACTTTTTACTGCTCCCCTCCCCCAACACCACTTAATTTATGGACAAAATCGCTATAGTTGCCCTGGGGTCTCCTGATTGGAACAAACAAAGCCTCCCAGAACTTGTGCTCACCAGATTCTTCCTTCTTGCAGCACAGGCCACCATGTTGTAATAATGGCAGCTGTTCACTGGGCTGCTCTTTCCCTTCAGTTATTGTCTGTGAAAACAGTACTAGTTCCAATGTGTTTCAGCAAGTTCTTCCCAAAATTGAGCTGAATGCTAAACTATTCTAGAAATTTCCAAAAGACAAAATCCTAGAAGCACAAAGATCTAATCTTGCTTCTTGACTATAGTCTCAAGTAGGTGATATTGTTCTAACCATTTCACCTTAACAACTCAGTTTCTTATCTATTAACCAAAGTCAATATTTTTATATCATATGTTAGTCTTGTGAGAGAAAAAAAAAATCAATGAATAGATGTAATTTGCCTGTCTTAGTTCCTGGTACACAATAGGTTCTCAATAAAGGCAACATTTCCTTTCTCTTACCAGAGATCTCTTAGATAGTAATTTTACTTGCTCCTAGGGCAATTCCTAGACTTCACAATCCCTCCTTCTCACTGACGCTTACTAAAGAAAGTTAAAATCACCCAAGAAGAAAGCAAGTTCCTCAAACCCACAGAACACTCTTAGTGCCTACACAATGCCACATTTGACAAGGTTTCTTGTCAGTGCTCTGAGTGCTTAAGCAAAAAAAAAGGGGGGGGGAATCTGAGAAAAGAGAGCTGAAATAAAGTAAGAACCAAATGAATTTTCTATCTAAGCAATAAGAAGAAAAGGAGTTTAATATGTTCACTGTTACAAAGCAAAGTAGTTTTCTAAACAGGACTCAGAAACTTATTGGTCTTCACTCTTGAACTGGTTAAGTAGCACCTTTTTGATAATAAAATAGCTGTTTTTTTGCTTTATAGACCCTCGTTTCATGGATGGAAGAGACATAAAATTTAGACTATCATGCTTGGTCCCAAATAGAAGAAACATCAGTCATGGTTTAATTTCCTTCAATGTAATTGTCCCAAATTAAACAACGTGGTTGACCTACCTTCTCTGTGATGTAGAAGTTTGAGCTATCAGCATGCTGCAGTGCAAAATATTCGTGGTTGGCAAGGGACCACCTTAAAAACAGAAGCATAAATTATCAGAGAAACACAAGTGGTTATTTCATTTTTAAAGGCTTTTACAGTTAGATGAACTAGATTCTCTACTACTAGAATTGAGCCTGTCCAAAATTACACCACAATGCAGTTTCCAAAACAAGATGGCATCAGCTCACCCTTCATTACTCTAAGATCAGTCCTTTTATAGATGGTTGGTCTAGGCCTATTCCAAGCCTATTGTTCACCTTTAAGCACTTCAACTTTAAGGTTTGGGGTAGGAGATTTAAATATAAGTTGCAACATTCCTTCTTATTTTGAAGGACTGAAGCATAGACATGATGAAAATAAGGGAATGAATACGTTTGATAATTAGCACTTTTCAATTGTCTCTGAATTCTGTAAACCCTAATCAGTATACTTGATGCAGACTGGAACACTCCAGTTAAGTATTACAGGTGTTACGTAAATTCCAAGTAACACTCTATTCACAGCTCTGCTTTACATGTCAAAAAAACCTCATGCAACTTTCCTATGTACTTTTCCCTTGGATTATTACAACAGCCAAAGAGGCTTTGGAAAGTCATTCCTGTGGGGAATTCTATGAGGCACATACTACCCTTGGATTGTCTTCTAATTCTTTCATCTTCAACAAAGACCTCTGTGAGTCTTTCAGTCTGTGCCAGATAGAGTCTGTATTTAACCTCGGGAACCACCAGTAGACTGCTCCCTGCTAAGGGGGACAAAAGGAACAGAACTTTCCAAAATAAATAATACCGACCGCACTGTAAACAAAACCTGGCCTTTTTACACTTTCTGCCCTTTGAAAATAATGGTAAGATTTTGGTGAGAAAAGGTGCCTAACTCTGACAAGGTAATTCTTAGTGACACTGAACATACCAAATAGGGAGTTGCAAATATTTATGATTAACTTTATTTATAATATTCTGCATAATATTGTACCATTCCACTGGAAATATTTTATTTGCCTGTTAGACTGGAGTGCTTTACTTGAACCCTGAGTAACACTTACTTACCCATCGCAGACTTCCTTTATTATTGCAGACAGTGGTTTTTTCTGCAAAATAACGAAAAAGGAAATACTATCTGTTAGTTTCATTTCACAATTTTAAATTTAAAAAACGAAGCCATATAAATTTTTTTAAAAATCTAAACAAGGAAACTTTACATTTGCTACTCTTAGTTGTCAATGAGTCTCTTACTTTTTTCAGGGTAACAATTTACCAGCAGCTACTACCAAATTTATTAATCCCTTACTACCCTTGTGGGTCATTTTTCTATAATTAGCATTATATTAACTGAACAAAGTATGTATCATATTTAATTCTGCCATGTAAAAAGTCAAGATGACAATATAGTTCTATTCAAAGATCTCACAGGTAACAGAAGCCTGTAAGGTCAAGGTATAGTGAGAAATCCTCACATAGTATATGAATCAGGCAGGCAGTCATTTGGTTTTACACAAACGAGTTTGGATTCATGGTATTTTTATGAGAACGTGTGGCAAATGGGCCATGAAGCATTATAAAATTGTTCCTGCAGAGTGCATTGAATTCTTCTCCCAATGGTGGCCCCAATAAATGGCAATCATACAGCAGCTTGAGCCAGACACACTCTAGAAATGTGACCATGACACCATGTGCTGCAGTGTCACCTGGTGCTCACCACAGCTGTGCTCTTGCCCTAACGGCCACACTTGTGCTCCGCCTGTCCTCCAGATAGAAGGACTGCAGCCAAGAGATACCAGCTCACCCTGAGATGTCAAAACCCTTTCTGCTTTGGATGCAAACAGATACTGTCTCCTAGGGCGGAGAGAAGTCTGTCAACCAAAGGAGCAAATCACAGACAAGAACAGAGGAAAATAAATTAGAGAAGTACAACACATGGCTCTGGATTGTCAGACGCACCCATAAAAAAATAAGGATGCACAGCTACTCCTGTCCCCACGGAGGGCAGTGTGGTATCCAGGAAGTGTCCATCTCAGGCAGGGTGGTTTGGATCCCAGCTCTGTCGATCTGACTGCAGTCTAACCTTCTGTTTCCTTTATCTGTAAAATGGGTCCTACCTACCCCCCTCAAGGAGTTATAAAAATTCAATGATTTTGAACAACATAGGAATGAACTAAAAAGGCTGAAAGACTCCTTATAGGCCGAGGCTTCTTTGTCCTTCCGTGTCACCAAAAGACCTCAACTTCCTCCAGGCATCCTGGCATTGGAAATGATGCTGCTGGGTCTGCTCTACTGGCAGATTCTGAGTGCCATCCACATGGCCTACCCCAAGGCCTCTGTAGCCACTGTACCCAGCCCCAGCCTAGTGTGCAGTGTTCCCCAACGACCATCCTGCCCTTAGCCCAGCTTCATGTCTTCAAAGCAGCATCTGACTCTGCCCACAACACAAGCACAGTTGGTGGGGAAAGGGGAACCAAGAATGATTTTTCTTCTTAAAAATTTATTTTTGATTTATTTAAGTATTTAGTGCCTTTTTATTTTTAATTGACATACAGTACTTATACATATTCATGAATGAAGTGTGGTATCTCAATACATGTACACAGTGTGTAATGATCCAATCAGGATAATTGACACATATGTCACCTCAGATACATATCAATTATTCATGTTAGGAACATTCAAAATCATCTCTACTAGGTATTTTGAAATATTCTATTGGTCACTTTTTACCACAGTTATCCCCCGTACTAGAAGCCATTAGAAATTATTCTTCATGAGTAGCTCGTTGGTACCATGCATTCTTAGCATATCTGAGGTCCTGTGTTCAAGACCCAGCACCAAAAAAGTTATTACTGCTATCCAACTGCACTCCTGTACCTATTAACCAGCCTCTCTCTATCCTCTACCCCTATTTCTACTATTCTATTCCCTATTTCTTTGAGATCATATAAGTGAAAATATGAATTATTTGGCTTGGGGTGGGTTCTGATTTATTTCATTTAACATAATGTCCTCCATGGGAAGCAAGAACTATTGAAAGTTGGAAAGATTCAAGGGTACTAATCCTGAGTCAGTCTCCTTTAGAGTAAAAATAGAAGTGGTGCCTGGGGTCTACACTTCTAGCTGCCAGAGACCCCTCCAAGATGTCAGTATATGATGGGGACACCATCAAAGTGTCTCCCAGCTCCAACTCTTACTTTTTGTATACTCAAGAGCAAAACATAAATCTCAGTTATGTGGGAGGCAGAGATTGGAGGATTGTGGTTCAAGGCCATTCTAGGCAAAAGGTTAGCAAGACCTCATTTCAACAGATACACTAGGCATGGTAGGTCACTACATTCCTGTAATCCCAGCTATACAGGAAGCATAGATAGGAGGATCACAGTCCCAGACTGGTTCCCGACAAAAACATGAGACTGCATACAAAAAAATAACATAAAACAAAAAAGGACTGGACATGTGGCAGAGCATCTGCCTACCAAATGCAATACCCTGAGTTCAAACCCCAGTACCCCTAAAAAATAAAACATAAGTATAACAGGGCCAAGTTTCATTCTTAAATTACATTGAAGCAACAGATCAGGTATGGTTTTTGAAGTAGGACAAGAGTTTGAAAGCAACTGTTCCTGAAATTAAATGTTTTAGTTTCTCTCAGAGAATAAGTTGGGTTTTAATTCAGGTCTGCTTCATAGATACAGAATCAAGTTTAAAAAGACAGAAGTCTCTGGGATACTATTATATGTAGACCGTTCTGAAGATGGATATATGAAATGAATAAAGACCATGGAAGCAGAAAGCTTAGAAATTCAATAGGGAAAAATTAAATGAAAAACTCTAAGCCTCAGAGGAAAAAGGATGGTAGTTAACTGAATATTAATGCAGCTTAATCAGTTGAAACAAGTGTCACACAGGGGCAGGGCTGGCCCCATGGCCCAGTTCCTGCCCCTTCTCTTATTTGCTCCAATCAAACACTGGCCCTCCAACTACCCAATCCCTAATTTCTGTAACCTTTTGCAGTTTTCACTTTCCTTTTCCTATCTTCCTTATTTGACACGGTTTCTATCCCTTCCGTTTGTAACCTCCTTTCCAGAGCTTCTATGAGGAGGCATAATATTTATAACTAATTCTTCAATAAAGTCCAAGAAATACCTCATAGCTCCATTTACCATTCCCAACTTCAAATTTCCGTTCTTGTCTTCTCTATGGACAGTTCTTCATGGATCTCATTCACTTCCACTATTCTTACTCTATAGTTGTGGTTCCATACTCTTCCTTGGAAATCCCTGACTGTTAGATACAACATTTTAACTCTCCTTCAGTCAACTTATTAAATGTACAAGCAAAAGTCTTCACTGTCAGGATCCCTGGCCCTCCATTTACCCCAGTAGGCCCATGTCTCCTTCATCTCCTCCCCAACCCACAGCCCCATCATGACCCCTGCTGCTCAGGAGCACCAATGACTTTCACTTCTTCCCTCTTCCATGTAATTTGTTATTGGGTTAGTTAGACTTCCTGTGACAAGCACAGCAATACCTCTCACTCCTTCTACTCCTATGAACCTCCTGCCCCCCTCATTCCAACTCTTGCCATCAAATTAGTCTTCCAACAACCACCCCCCAATCTGGCACCTGTCTGCTTCCCCCACCCCAAGCCTTCCTGAGCAACAGCCCAGGCTCTGCTGTCACATCAATGCAAACTTTAACTTCCATGAGTTCCTGCACTCCACCCACAGTTCTTCCAACAAACTTCCACAGAACTTGTCTTCTCCTTTTCCTTGTTCTCTCCTGTGATGTAGACATTTACAAGACACAAGTCTCCTCATTACTTCTTCCACCGACTCCTTTTTCCTTTGCCCTTCCCAGAGCCTTCCTGCCACCTTTGTTCCCGGGTTCCCATCATCAGATCCCTACAAGTGAGTCTCAACATCTCCACTCGCCTTTCAAATCCCCTGTCAACTAATGAGATAACATTAACTTCCCTCAAATTTTGCTCGTCTCTCTTTTGTTCTAATATCCTCCATGGATCTTCAACGACCTTTACCTATAAACTACAAATCCCTAAGTTTGACATGCAAGGTCTTCTATAATCTGGTCTCTAGAAATTCTGTTCTGTACAAGTTGCCCAAGACTCTGGATTTTGTTGGTGAATCACAGAAAAAAAAAAAAAGTGGTTGGGAGCATGGCTCAATTAGAAGAGCACCTGCATAGAAGCATGAGGCTGAGTTCAAATGCAGAACTGCAAAAACAGTGCTTTCTTTCTGCTCCATCTGTAACACTGAGCTCCTAATGTCCATGTCAAAGCCACCTTCTCTACCCACAGGTCCATGACCTTCCTAGAGAGACACAATTATTCTGTCTATACTCAGCACATTAAATGACTCCCTCCTGAAGACTTTTGTGTATCTCTCTTTTCTTTGTCCCTTGAGAATGGACAACTTTATTCACCTCTGTAACTTCTTCCACCCACCACTCCTCCGTCCTGGTTACCAGAGTATGTAGGTACTAACGGAATCTAACAGGAAACTCAATAGATTTCTCTTAAATGGAAAAATCCATAGATTCACTAACCTTCCTTTAAAAAACAAAAATGACCTGGGGATATAGTGCAATGGTGGAGTGTTTGCCTATATCTGAGCATGTTTCCTACATGCTAACACATATACCACATATGTATGGCTCTAAGCAGCTGCTGACCATAAGATGTGAGATACATGGAAGCAGTTACCACTCTCTGCGTAGACTCGGTCTCGTGGGAGTTGTGGGATGCGTGGCTTGGAAAAGCATTGAGCCAGCCAACTCCAACTGATGAAGAATGAAACTGGGCAGATGATAAAATAGACAGCAACCAAATGGACATCATCATTAGTAAGCAGCACCAAATAGGTGAGCTGTCCTGCTCTCAGACAACACTTGCCAAGATGGCCCCATGTAGAAAACACTAGTCTAGTGCTGCAGTTTTTCTCACTTCCTCTACAACCCCCTTGGTTTGGCATGAGCTTGTTGCCTAAACAGTAATTCCAAGCCAAACATCATCATTGCTCATGGTTTTATTAGTTCCTTTGACTAGAAGGTTACATAAGATGCTTTTGTTTATATATATAGTTCTT